CGGATAACAATTGAAAGAAGCATTAGAAACTAGGTCATTAGCCATTGTTTTTCACATCTCTCAGAAATTTTCCAGTTGAGTAATCTGTGCGAATGTTTTTGTAGAAACAAATATTTGCAGTTTGGGAACAATTTTTTTACCATAATCTTTTCTATAACGATTTATTATATGTTTTGAAGACTGAATCGCTCTCTCTGCAAATTCAGCTTCTGTCTTACTCAATGTTGAGAAAACTTCAATGTCTTTCTCCTGGCAAAAACAATTGCAAGTTCCCTCATATTCTGTTCTCTTATCAACTCTAAGCTTTTTTCGAGAAATCTTTTTTTGATAGCTTGCAAAGTGATTTTGGCATACTGTGTTTTCATTGTTTGAACTCTGACAAATCTCAAAAAATTGTCTACAGCAACTAAGCAATACTTAACTCCATTGTTTTAACTAGCTAACTTGTCTACAAAAGCCAAGTTCATACACTAGGTTTCTTTGATATACTCAGAAAAAGCTTGAAGTCATCGGAAACAACTTGTTGTTGGACCAATTTTTGTATAAGATGTCTGGGTTTAAAAAAAGTTACTAGTTTACTTTTTGATAAACCGTTTGTTTTACTCAAGTTTTGCCCAGATCCGTATGCAGCTCTACCCATTGAATACAATCTGTTTGGTCTTACCATTTCAGATTTTGAAAGGGATCCAAGTTTCTCTGTTTGTTGCTTTGGTATTTTTGTTGATAACAAGTTTAGATGGAATTTGAGTTTCTTCCAAAATAGTGAAAAAACATCTAAAAAACGCATGTTTTATCGCTTTAATGCGCGCACAACGTCTCGAATAGTGTAGTTTCTATCTCGATTATCTAGTAGGATGTTTTCTGACTGGCTCAGTTTATTTTTTGGAGAATTCAAAAATAAATCAATAATGTGCTTACTCTTACTCGTTTTCAATCTTGCATTTACAGCACTGTAAACAAAATCAAAATTTTTTGTTACAATCTCCTCTTTTTCTTTCTTCAGTTTTTGTTTCCTTGGATGGGTACTTTGTGATGCTAAGCTGATTACTGAATTAAAACAAACTGTTCCAATCTCTGTCAATCGTTTAACGACAAATGCATTGAATAGAAATATGAACTGCCACTCTTTAGTTGAACTTAAAATAGAGATAACAACTGTAACCCTCTAGTTGAACTTAAATTAGTTCTTCTTTTGTGTACAGAAGTTCTTTTTTGTCTGAAACTTATCTCTCTTCGATATTTAACTACGTTTTTTTGCCGATGTTCATGCAGTTCTCCTCCTAATATGCTCACCAAACACTCGCTCAGAAAACGAAAGAAATCGTTTGGACGATTGAGAATGAAATGTTTTCGAAGTCTTGGGTAAAATTTTTGAAATATTGGGAGAATAGAGACGTATTGGGTGCTCATCGTCCAAAAACTTTGTCTCTGTTCCAGCTGGTATTAAACTGCGCTAGAACTGAACGATTATCAGACCAATTTCTAAGTGAATCATCTGTTTTTGTGGTTAAAAAACAGTTAAATGACCATAATAAACCGACAATGCATCTTGATACAAATCTTTTAATTGAGATCCTAGACCTAGTTTGTCTTAATGTATTGTTTGGAAACAAGTCTATGTGCTTATTTTGTATATCTACATCTCTCACCAGTTTGCCTTGATGAAATAAATTGTGCTTGGTGTGTTTTGTTTTCAGACCCCTGTGTCATCAAAATAAGCAGATTCTTAGTTCCGTTTTTAGAACAATCTTCAGTCAAGTCAAAATCTACTCCTTGGATAAGTTTTGCGTTTGAATCTAAAACGCTTTGCGTTTGAATCTTTAATTTTTTCTTTGCGTTTGAATCTAAAAAAACTGATATTAATGTTGAGAATAGTAGAAATTTCTGTCAAATGCTGGTTGAAAAGTACCAACTTTCTTCCAATCAAAGAAGATAAGATTTTCCAGATCCACTTGGACCAACTAGGGAAATAAAAATTTCTTTTTTTAGATATTATTTTATTCATAACTTCTGAGAAGGTAAAACAAAATCGTCTGTAATTGATAAGATAGCTACCAAAACTGACGTTTCTTCACATTTTGTGGATAACAATATTCGAGCAATTGCACATACTAGCATCAAAACTATAACAAAATATCGGCTAAGAAAAACTAAATTAGACCTATTACATGTACGTCCAAACAGCTTCCAGGATTTTCATTCATGATTTTCTTCATCACAAACCAAATTTTCTAAGACTATGGGCTTGTGAGATTGATCTGCCATTTCTAGAAAAAAAAAGTAGTTTAAGACATTTAGCTGAAGTTCAAAAAAGTAATACAATAGTAATATTATGATTTAAATCTTATTAAATAACGTCTCGTTAAAGTCCACGTTTCGTATGCAAAAACTTTTTTTTGTAGTCAGTGAAATTTTTTTGCATGACAAAATGGGTAGTTGCTCTACCTCTAATCATATTCTTCATCTTAGAAAAACAAATTCTGAATTTTTGGGTATGCGTAGTCATCCAAGTTTGTAACTTTTGATTTCAAAATTTCTGACAGAGTTTTACTTTTTTGATAGATTTTTGCAAAAAATTCCGTTTCTGATGTTACTAAATTTTTTAAAACATTTTTTCAAGTTCAGTTTATGTTTTGTAACGGCTTCTCCAACTGATTCCCTGAGTATGCTTCGTACACCAAGTACATTGGGATGTTGATTTGAGTTTTTTTGGAGGAAGAAAAAATATCCTACAGTTTTCACATCATTATAAACTCCTATCTCTTTCACTATATTGTTTTCAGTACATTCAGTATCCAAAACAACCAGACTCATTACAATAACTGTTTTCTCTGGAGTTTTTTTGATCAAAACGACTAACAATCAAACAAAGCATATATTGACGAGGCAAAAATTTTGACATTTAAAGAAAATTATTCCTTAATACTCATACTGTTCAACTCAAATACTGAAAGAAAATTGCTTTCAGTGGATAGTTATTTAAAATGTAAAATAAAAAAACCATAAATAACACAATTTATTGTACTTTAAAATTCTCAGCAAACGAAGTCTCCCAAAATTTGTGACAATTGTTTGACTTCGTTCAAAATCTAACTGACATAAGCAACCTCTTTTATTGCTTCATTCTCTCTTGCAGTAAAGAGTCGAATTTGAATTTAGGGAGGCTTGTTAACAATTTTGCTCTAGATTGTGACACAAACTTGTCTTCTGAATTTCTGTCACACACTTTGTTGCCGTTAGCAAGCTCCTGATTCATTTTTGACTCTTTGTCAGAAGTGAGTTCTAATATAGAATTGAAGATAAGCTTTTCAGTATTGTGAATAGCAATTTTTAGCGTTCAAAAAAAAGCAGGGTTCGAAGTTAGTTTTCCCATTATAGGATTTTTAGGGGCAAACAAATCCTCTAATCCTTGTTTGATTTTTAGAAAAATCAGTATAATTGGAACTGGTGTTTTTCTTGAGTACACTTTGATTAGAGGAGTAAACTGATCAAATAAGGAGAAGTAGGAGAAATGTTATTGAGACTAAATGAAAATAGAAGTAAACAGTATGAGTATTTCAATTAACATAAAAGGAAGTAGAGTTATAATTGGAATTTTATATATTCCATATTTAGTCACCCCAATAATATATAGTATCTGGTCTGTAGTCGTGTTCAATCGGATTTCAGCTTCCTTTCAGGAAAACTTTTTATTAAAATTCGCATCCAATCAGAAATGAAGTTCCATTTACGGGATTTTTACAATTTGTCGTTTCCAATCAGAAAAAAGCCCAGTTTTCTTCTGGTTTTGTCAATAATCAGAGGTAAGTTTACCTTTTAAGGATTCAAATCTCCAAATTAGTTCTTCTTTTGTGTACAGAAGTTCTTTTTTGTCTGAAACTTATCTCTCTTCGATATTTAACTACGTTTTTTTGCCGATGTTCTTGCAGTTCTCCTCCTAATATGCTCACCAAACACTCGCTCAGAAAACGAAAGAAATCGTTTGGACGATTGAGAATGAAATGTTTTCGAAGTCTTGGGTAAAATTTTTGAAATATTGGGAGAATAGAGACGTATTGGGTGCTCATCGTCCAAAAACTTTGTCTCTGTTCCAGCTGGTATTAAACTGCGCTAGAACTGAACGATTATCAGACCAATTTCTAAGTGAATCATCTGTTTTTGTGGTTAAAAAACAGTTAAATGACCATAATAAACCGACAATGCATCTTGATACAAGTCTTTTAATTGAGATCCTAGACCTAGTTTGTCTTAATGTATTGTTTGGAAACAAGTCTATGTGCTTATTTTGTATATCTACATCTCTCACCAGTTTGCCTTGATGAAATAAATTGTGCTTGGTGTGTTTTGTTTTCAGACCCCTGTGTCATCAAAATAAGCAGATTCTTAGTTCCGTTTTTAGAACAATCTTCAGTCAAGTCAAAATCTACTCCTTGGATAAGTTTTGCGTTTGAATCTAAAACGCTTTGCGTTTGAATCTTTAATTTTTTCTTTGCGTTTGAATCTAAAAAAACTGATATTAATGTTGAGAATAGTAGAAATTTCTGTCAAATGCTGGTTGAAAAGTACCAACTTTCTTCCAATCAAAGAAGATAAGATTTTCCAGATCCACTTGGACCAACTAGGGAAATAAAAATTTCTTTTTTTAGATATTATTTTATTCATAACTTCTGAGAAGGTAAAACAAAATCGTCTGTAATTGATAAGATAGCTACCAAAACTGACGTTTCTTCACATTTTGTGGATAACAATATTCGAGCAATTGCACATACTAGCATCAAAACTATAACAAAATATCGGCTAAGAAAAACTAAATTAGACCTATTACATGTACGTCCAAACAGCTTCCAGGATTTTCATTCATGATTTTCTTCATCACAAACCAAATTTTCTAAGACTATGGGCTTGTGAGATTGATCTGCCATTTCTAGAAAAAAAAAGTAGTTTAAGACATTTAGCTGAAGTTCAAAAAAGTAATACAATAGTAATATTATGATTTAAATCTTATTAAATAACGTCTCGTTAAAGTCCACGTTTCGTATGCAAAAACTTTTTTTTGTAGTCAGTGAAATTTTTTTGCATGACAAAATGGGTAGTTGCTCTACCTCTAATCATATTCTTCATCTTAGAAAAACAAATTCTGAATTTTTGGGTATGCGTAGTCATCCAAGTGTGTAACTTTTGATTTCAAAATTTCTGACAGAGTTTTACTTTTTTGATAGATTTTTGCAAAAAATTCCGTTTCTGATGTTACTAAATTTTTTAAAACATTTTTTCAAGTTCAGTTTATGTTTTGTAACGGCTTCTCCAACTGATTCCCTGAGTATGCTTCGTACACCAAGTACATTGGGATGTTGATTTGAGTTTTTTTGGAGGAAGAAAAAATATCCTACAGTTTTCACATCATTATAAACTCCTATCTCTTTCACTATATTGTTTTCAGTACATTCAGTATCCAAAACAACCAGACTCATTACAATAACTGTTTTCTCTGGAGTTTTTTTGATCAAAACGACTAACAATCAAACAAAGCATATATTGACGAGGCAAAAATTTTGACATTTAAAGAAAATTATTCCTTAATACTCATACTGTTCAACTCAAATACTGAAAGAAAATTGCTTTCAGTGGATAGTTATTTAAAATGTAAAATAAAAAAAACCATAAATAACACAATTTATTGTACTTTAAAATTCTCAGCAAACGAAGTCTCCCAAAATTTGTGACAATTGTTTGACTTCGTTCAAAATCTAACTGACATAAGCAACCTCTTTTATTGCTTCATTCTCTCTTGCAGTAAAGAGTCGAATTTGAATTTAGGGAGGCTTGTTAACAATTTTGCTCTAGATTGTGACACAAACTTGTCTTCTGTATTTATGTCACACACTTTGTTGCCGTTAGCAAGCTCCTGATTCATTTTTGACTCTTTGTCAGAAGTGAGTTCTAATATAGAATTGAAGATAAGCTTTTCAGTATTGTGAATAGCAATTTTTAGCGTTCAAAAAAAAGCAGGGTTCGAAGTTAGTTTTCCCATTATAGGATTTTTAGGGGCAAACAAATCCTCTAATCCTTGTTTGATTTTTAGAAAAATCAGTATAATTGGAACTGGTGTTTTTCTTGAGTACACTTTGATTAGAGGAGTAAACTGATCAAATAAGGAGAAGTAGGAGAAATGTTATTGAGACTAAATGAAAATAGAAGTAAACAGTATGAGTATTTCAATTAACATAAAAGGAAGTAGAGTTATAATTGGAATTTTATATATTCCATATTTAGTCACCCCAATAATATATAGTATCTGGTCTGTAGTCGTGTTCAATCGGATTTCAGCTTCCTTTCAGGAAAACTTTTTATTAAAATTCGCATCCAATCAGAAATGAAGTTCCATTTACGGGATTTTTACAATTTGTCGTTTCCAATCAGAAAAAAGCCCAGTTTTCTTCTGGTTTTGTCAATAATCAGAGGTAAGTTTACCTTCTAAGGACTCAAATCTCCCAACTAAAAAAAATACGCACAATGGAAGTTGCAAAAATGACCTCAAGTTATTTGCTGTGAAAATAAGAAATATCGTCGATATAAGTAACACCAGAAAGAAAATTATAACAAGAAGCTTTTCTGCAAGTTTGTGCTTGAAACCAATTGAATTTTTCGTATACAATCAATGAAAAAATGCAGATTTTCGAGAAGATGGCCAAGTTATTTGATTTTGATATAAATTTGAGAGAATAAATCGAAGTAGATGATTTTTTCAAAGCAAACCTTTAAAAATCTTATTCTGATCATGCATGACTTTGAACTTTGAAAATCTATGAAAAAATGAAGGAACAAATATTTTTGCTGGATAGTTTTGTCAAATTTGTGACTCGGAAAGGGGATAAAAAGAGTCTTTGATATATTATCATACGACTGTTTGATCAATTCCAAATTTTTGAGAATAAATAAAGTTTTTTCTTACACACTAAATCTTTATCTTTTTTTTTCAGATGCATTCACGCAACAGAAATGAGAAATTGAAATGGCAGAAGAGTGACAAAGATTACAGGAGATTCGATGCAGCTCGACATCGCAAGAGTTGTGCGCGAAGAGTTTTTTTCTCGTACATAATGTAATTTTTGTTATAACAACAAGCAACAAATGAGTTTCCATACGAGCAAGAAGCACGTAAATTCAACCGCAAAATCAACAGAGTAAGTATCGTGTGTAAACTGTGTAGCTGTTATTCACTTCAACAACATCGCAAGAAAGTTCACGCGTTGAAAGCGAGGAAAACGAGTGATTCTGTTGCTGATTTGAATAAAGTCTTGGGAAACGAGGAGGATAGTGAACAGCTACGAGATGAGTTAAATGACTGGCAACACGTCTTGAAGGATACTGAGATGGAAACTTAACGCCACAAGGCATTCAATTTTCAGCGTTCGATACTAGATCTCAATCTAGTTAATGAATAACTAGATCAAGTTTTTGAAAAACTTTTTTGCGCAGCAAAAGCAACTTTTTAGAATTATAGAAATTAGATTTATAGAATTTTTTACATTTTTAGAAGCAGATGAATATCATAAATCAATTTTTTCTTGCAGTTAAGCAGACTTGACTTCTATGCAAAACACGGTCGATAACCAAGATATTAATGAAATTTGTAAACAAGATAGACAAAACACAAAAGGCGATTGACTTGATCACTATTGTGATCTTTTTCGCGACTTTATTCATAAACGTACCTACAGGATGTCTAGATTCAGTGATTTTCGAAGCACTTCTAAGAAAACATCAAGTAAATGGTTTGATTTTGGGCTCAAAGTATCAGCCATACAATGATTACTTGTTTTTTCCGAGAACTTGCAGAACAAAAAATGTTTTAATATCAACCTCCAAGATTTTTATCGATTTTCTTAAAAAATCCAGATGTGATCCGAAACAATTTTTTTAAGTTTCGATTGATATTTTGCCGATAATTGAGGATGTATTAGAGAAAACATCTTTATCTACAATATCTTCAGTGAAATTGAAGACGGACAGACACTTCCTGAGAGAATTAGCTCAGAGAAGTATCGGTAAATTTGAGAATACAGTGAAGCCTTTACGATACAGCAACCACATTACTTTCGTCAATAGATCGACGAATTTTTCAATTGTTTCCGATGTTCAACTTATTGCAATATATTTTTCCACGAAGCAGACCAGTTCAAATTTCATCTTTTTTCTTGCAAAGAACCAGTCAAAAATAATTACTCCAAAAGTGCTTGCACTTTAAGGGAGACGTTATTTGAAAAACTGGAGGTGTTCAACTTTTAGTATACCAAAGAACAAATTTCATTCAAAAAGTCACATTTTTGGATTTTGAATCAGTTTGCGTTAAAACCGACAGAATCGGAGTTAAAACAGACAGAAAAAAAAACCTGGATCGGAAAGCATGAACCCATATCAGTGTCAATCTCTTTCAATTTGCTAGACAACCCCTTGTTTTTGAGTGACAAGTATCACCAAACCTTCATTATTGATGCTGAAAAATTTCAGGCGGAGATGCGATGAAGTTTTTTTGAAACTGAAATTAACAGTGAAGCAAGAGAATGCGAAGGCGATTGTGTTGGGGATGAGGAAAAACAGACGCATCCATTTACTTTCTAATTATTCAAAAAGTCAATTGATCGATTTGATGCAATATCTAGAGAGGTACGCAATACTCAATACACAACACAGTTTTGGATTCAAAAGTGCTAGGTATTATATAATTCTCATTAAATCATATCTCATCCACTACCTAATCAACGAAAAGGAGAATGAACCTGCAGCTTTCAATAAAACCAACGACGTTGTTTCTTTTAGATTTGGAGACTTTCAGCTTCTCGACAGTATGAAGTTTTTGGTTGGAGCTACTACTTTAGACCCTTTTCTAAATGCTTACAACGCCAGTGATATGAAAGCATTTTTTCCATACTAGTGGTATGATACTCCCAACCAGGTCGATGAACAACTACCGTCTTATGATGATTTTTACAGTAAATTGAAGAATAGCAACCCTCTCGATAAAAATTTTGACGGTTATTATAAACTTCTTAGCACTAGTATAACTGAAAAACAAACCATGAAAAAGCTTGGTTAAAAAACCAAACCACCTACGGGACTGGAAAATTACAACTACTTGAAATCTAACCAGGAACAGGAAAATATGACCACATTTCGCTATTTTATACAGTTGTATAATAACAAAGATGTGATTTCTACCCTTAAAGCGATGCAAAAAAAGAATGAATTTTATCACGAAAGGGGGATAGATCTTTTAAAACTCGGCTGCACACTGCCAAATTTAGCTAATCTTTGTCTACACAAGTCAACCGACTATAAATTTTACCCCTTCTTCTCGAGTGGTAGTGACTTGCCTGAAAAAAATACGGAAATGTGACCGGTCGTCCCTCAATTGTTTTCACAAGGAAAATAATAGCAAACGAGACGTTTATTCGAAAATCAGACAACTTGTTTGTATCAACCATTGTGATTGATGCCATTCATTATATCCTTATTCTAGGTGTCGGGATATTCCCACAGGCTTGTATACCAGATAGAACTACAATGAAGAAACACAAAAAATCAAGGCAAAGCAAAATTGGTTTCGTATGTTTGAAAATATAGTCATCTCATTTTGTCAAGCAACCAGAAGTGAATGTAAAATTCAAAGCTACTACATTGTTTCAGTGTTGATTGTTTTTGCAACCATTATATGCCTTTTTTTGAAGCAATAGTATGTTGTTTCCATTTCTGCCAAGAAGCTAGAACTAGCCTAACTGCTGATGATTTTAAACAAGGAACCAAGAAAAAAGAAATAGATTAGCTTCGAAAAAATTACACTACAGATAAAGGATACTCCAATGAAGAAATCTGGGAATGTAGCTAGTATATAAATTTAAAAACAACGTGAAAAATTACTTTAGAACTCATTCTCCCTTCAAAAGGCCTCTTTCTTCCAATTCACTATTGCAGAACAAAAGAAATTGAACAATGTTTCTCTATGTACAATGCGATCTGAGTTTTCTAGATGAACTAAAAATGAAGTTCTCCAGCTTCCCCCTATTTTAAAAAATATTGATATTAACAGAAACGATTTTGGGGAATGTATGAAGTTATACGCCGAAGAAAACGATTTGTTAAAGCAACCGCAGCAAAGCATAGTACCGAGCTTCAATGTAAGAAACGGAGCACTTATAACAATTTTCAACTTTTACTTGGATGTTGGACTACAATGTACAAAAATTCATCGATTTGTACAGAACTCACCGCGAAAAGTTTTTAATAGTTTCAATAGAACTGTTGTTGATGCTCGGCGAGCTGGCGATGAGAATCCCCTAAATGGTGTGGTAGCTGAAAGAATGAAAGTGCTAGGAAATAGTTTCTATAAGTATCAAATAATTGCTAGATCAAAACATACAATGACAAAATATCTTGCTAACGAAAAGTTCCATAAAGCTATCAAAAACCAATTCGTTCAGTGACTCAATATTGTAGCTAAAGATTTGCTTGCGATGAAGCTTGTTAAACCTGATACATAACATCGTGAATCGGTTATAGTAAGATTCTTTATACTACCGTATGTCAAGTTGAGAATGTTGGAGTTTTGTTAAAACTTTTTTGATAAATTTTGCGATGTCAACAAATTTGAAGAACTCGAAATGGATACAGGATCCGTCTATTTGGACTTGGCAAAAAGAGATTAAAATGAGTGTATTCTTCCCAGCAAATGAGCAGAATGGAATGAAAAGCGAAGCAAGGGTTTTCGAGACAATTTGGAGCAGATACGAAAAACATTTTTTTGTCCCGTACTTGCTGCTCTAAATATGATAAACATGACAATAGAGAATCATGATTGTTCAAGAGGAGCTCAGAATCATTGAAAGGCTGTCTTTTTCTAGTAAAACTTATTGATGTTAATATACTAAAAATGGAAAGTATATTCTTAGCAGTAAATTACTGAGCAAACATGTATTAGAAGACTCTGGAGATGGCCCGATGGCAAAGCATCGACATGTACTGAACGAGGCAGTGAGTCTGAAGTGAACTAATACAGGGCTTAAAACAATTAACCATGCAGTTGCAGCTTATGAATAAACTGAAAAGGGACTGAGCTATTTTTACCCTGAATGGGAAGTTCAATGAGATGGAATACATACTAAACCTCTGAATCTGTAAAAGATTGTTGTAAAATTATATACGATGCTGTAAAATAAAACATTTTCTCCGTACTTGACTTTTTTTCAACAGTTCTTTTTAAACATTGCGCTTAGATTAACAATCTATTATTTTTGATCAAGAAAACGTTCAGAATCCTAAACATTGCTGAATCGGCAAAATCGGCCGCCAAAAATTCTTTGATAATCAATTTTTTTTTCGAAACCTACCATTTTAACATCTGAAACTCTGAAACCTATAGCATCTCTTAATACATGGCAAATCTATACCCGATCTTTTGAAACATAGGGTGCTGACCGGATACTCTATAGCCCATCTTAATACACGGGGCTCAGCATCCCCCCGCGCTAGTTTGTCGCGACATAGACTACTGCAGGTTATTTTACTAGTTTTTTTGATCTTTTTATATCATCTTAAAAGTATCATTGTGCGAAGATCGAAGTCAGAAAGATATTTTACCTGTGATCAATTTTTGTTAATTATGATGGTTTAGAGATGGCCAACTTGGAGCAATTTACACGCGAGATTTTTCGGGCTTTTAACGCGTAAGCGGAATTTTAATTCCTCTTGAAAATCATTCTAAATTGGACCTTAAAATGCTAATTAGACTAATTAAAATTTTCTAATAGGCGAAATATAAGTTTTGCACTCTGCATAGCGTGTGGGGGGATGATTTTTAGAAAAAACCAATTCGAACTCAGAACTTATCATTTTTTTTGGAAAGTTTCATCATTTTTTAGACCGAACCTTACGCCACAGACCAGAGTCAGAAAAACCAAGCAGCCGCCTGATGCGAGCTGCCGCCTCTTTCCAATTTGATTCAACTGTAGCAAAAAAGTCTCAATTTTAAAAGCTGCTGGAATTTCAGTGCTTTGATATATTTTTGATGTAATTTTTAATTTAAAACTTTTGTAATTTGATTGTTGTTTAACTCGAAATTCTGTTGGCTATGTTCTCAAAAGGAATTGTTTTTTGACAATTATCGACAAATATGAAAAAAGTGGTCGGTCTAGTTTTTTTGAGCTTTTAGAACGTTTTAGGTTTCATTTTATATCCACTTACTTGTCATGCTATGTTTTTATTGTATTGGCGCAATAAATCAATATTTTGCGGCAATCGCTTAAAATTTATTCGCTTAAAACGTTGATGTAAAATGATTTTCAAAAATGTCGACCACTCCAAAAGCAAATTAATACTCGAGCGAATGCTTTACAGGTGTCCACAATTAAACTTCTCTTTTGACCCAATTTTCTTTCCCACTTATGAAAATTGGTAGGAACTTTCACTTTTTCCCCCGTGGGATCAGGTACCTCATAACCATCGCATTGGGTCGAGTGATAAATCATTTTTTAAAATCTTTTCAGTCGGGAGTTGAACGTAACTTTCAGAAAGTTGTTCTGCGTTTAGAAAAACAGGTTCCAAATTTTTGAGTTCGTCTAATTTCGAGCGAGTAAAGCGATCGAGTAACCTTTGTTATGAAAGTAACTTAATAATTTAGGCAAAAAAATGATTTAACCAAAATTTTAATTTAGTTTTGGAAGCTTCATTTAATTTCTTTTTTCGATTTTCTTGTCTATTTACTTTTTTGGAGAAAGCTGAACTCAGTTATGACTTATTCACTTATTCTTACATAATTGTATAGTTCTATCGCCACGTACATGAAACGATAGTAATCTGAAAAAAAAATGTTTGTGATCTTTTTGAAGGCAGTCCGAACATTCTGTGCTTGCTCTGATAAGGCGCAATGGCAAGAAATTGGAGCAACTGTTTTCCCGTAATATTTTTCAGTTTTCAATGTTTTTTCAAAAGTCAATTAAAAAAGGGCAGACTTTTTTTTAAAGTATTGAGTTTTTCTTAGTTTTTTCAAGAGTCAATGAACGGAGTAAAGATACTTATATAAGACGTGATGATTTTTTCAGAAAAAAGGTTTAAAAATTAAAATTTGTTCACGCCCAACTTTGATTTTTCGCGGTTTGACTTTTTGCAAGTTTAACTCCATTACTTTGTTAAAAGAAAAACAATCTCTGCTATCAAACATCAAATGGTAAAAACGTCACAAAAAACTTTACTTTCCTAGTTTTGAAAGTATATTTCAATTTCAAGTTTTACCTGCGGATCAGAAAATGACCTAACGATTTTTTTTTTCAATTTTGTTTAGTTTATCAAAAAAATTTAGAAAAAAAGCTGTTTTTTTTCTGTTTTCTTGCGTTTCTTGACTTTTTTAACTTGTTTATATTTTCTGAAGGAAGTCCAAGTTTGAGCACGCAATTTTTTTGCGTTATACCATTTTTTTTTTGTTTTTAAAAGTGGAATCAAGAAATTAAAATGTGAAGAGCAAGGCAAACTGTGCTCTCAAACCACGAAACAGCAAATACTGCGAAAAAAACAATCAGTTTTCGTTGAAATTGATAATAATTTCAAGATTTTTCAGCGAAATTTTAAGAACAAGAGACAGTTTTAAGGTGGTGTAACTTTTTTTTGAACTTTCATAAGCTAATCTCATTTGTAAGGTTTTATTTGCTTGTGTTTGCAAATTGTAGCTTGGCCTCAGATTCGAATTTAGTGCTAAAATTTTATAGTACTCAGAATTGGCGGAGTGGAAAAGCTTTCTGCTACTTTTCACCAGTTTACAGACCTGCATTTTGCAGATCGAGGAGGTAAAGCTAATTGCACTGCTTTTTTGTCGGCCACGGGTCGAAGGCAGGTTGTAATTATACTGCTGTTTACCGGGACTTGTTGTATTTTGTTGTCTTGTTTCATCTACTGAACAAGATTTTGTGCGTCGGATTGAATAGGGAAGACTTTGATGCTGTGATCTTTGCATGAGGAAAACAGATCATTGCCGAATGTAATAGCTGTCACCTTGCATTTGTGGGAGTGCTTTCTTAAAAATTTCCATTTTTGCTTTTTGCTTCTTAGTATGGTTGTGGCCACAAATTATGAAAGTGCGACATCTGCGTAGTGGAAACTTAATTCAGTTTTTGTTCTAGCAAAAAAACTAATGAAAAAAATTTGTTCTAATTGTTTGTTCTAGTTTTTCTAATGAAAAAACTGAATGAAAAAAAAACAAAAAAATTCGGACTTTTTGTCATCCATTATACCCTGAACTGAGTGAAAACTGCAGATTAACTTAGTTAATAGTAATAACGTACAATCTTATAGCAAAGCGCTAAATTGCGTCTTCACAACAAATAGCTTGAATTCGCGACCCAATTGAGTCCCAAACTCTAGCCATAAATGATTTTTTCACGTGCAGGTTAAATTAGTACATGAAAGAACAAAAAATGGTAAGGGTAGATGATAAGATGGAATAGGTAATATGTTCATCTACCAATCAAAGGTCAGCGTAGGCAGCGTAAGAATCCGTTTCAAACTCATGTAATTTCAAATTGAGGCTAGTCGTTCAGTTTTTAAAATGTTTTTTGGACGACAAATATCCCTATTCACATAACGTGGAGAAAGTAAGAAATCTGAAAATAGCTTCAAAATTTATTGACTTCAGCTAGTTTTACTTTAGTTTGTGTTATAAGAAATTGTTATTCAAAAGCTATAAACCTTAACTTGATGATAGGTTTTAAAATGACAGTCAGGAATAACAAGCCTAATAATTCTGGCATGAACAATATAAAACATAAAATATTAAATTCCACGACAGTCAATCAGTTCAGTTTTTCGGAAAACAACTTCGAAGCAGGAATACGGCCCGCTTTTAAGGTTGGATGTCACGACCATGTTGGGGTCCCACGAGATGAGTTTGAAGCCGTGCTGGCTCAGCAGTTTGGTGATTTCCGCGTAGCTTTGGAAATTTTTGCCATTATCACCCTGGTGGAATTCAATCCCAATCTGCTTAACATTTGCCAAGGAGCCACTAAAAATAGAGACAATTAACTAAGGAAAAAAGCGATTCGATACGCAATTCATATGTATTATAATTATCTATTCGTTGCCCGTAACTAATTTGATAAAGAAACTAGTTTTTATATTGGTCGACTGTCCTATCGTTTTTGTGGATGCGGATAAAACCAAAAGCAGATTGTAAAGAGAACTTATGTTAGGAATCTAGATTAGAAACGAAATGTTTGAGATTGGCACTGTAACGATGTGCCGTACCAATAGCGGGCTGGCTTCTTAAACCAGTCAGTAGCCGTATCTTTTCAGAAACTACAAGCTGTCAAACTAACCTTCGGATCCATTCAGGAATGCTGTTTCGCTCCTCGCCTTCAATGTCAACCTATGAAACAAATACTATTAAAAAGAGGCTCTATGGGGATAAAAGAAAAATGTCTTGTTTAAAGTGTCTGGTTTAAATTTGGTTTAAGGTGTCTGAAATAAATTATGACCTACAAGTTGATTCAATTTAAGAAAAAAGAAAGAATTTTGAGTTTCAATTCGATGTGTTTAATCAAACTAAATGTTTTTTTTTCAGAAACTACGCTTAAACTACATTTAAATCACAAGACCTTGCATGTGTTGATGCAACAATATCTATTGATGCAAAAAAAGCTTCTTTCAAATTGACCAAGATCTGCTGGCGCTACTTAGTGAAAGAAAACTAGAAATTCTTTCAATATCTCAATTGAAAAAGGGTCGGTAGAAAAACTAAGTTTTAGTGTGAACTAAGAGCAAAAAACTTTAAAAATTTTTTATCGAATATACTTTTGTAGTTGAAAAAAAAAACGACCAGCAACTTATTTTATATTACTTTTAAAACAAGCAACAATTAAGTCCGTAACTAACTCACTTAGCAAAATATCACTGAATTTTATGTTATTACAAATAAGCTATAGACCATTTTTTCTCAATTTTGAAAACTTTTTCCGAAATGCCACTTAAAATGATATCTAAAGCGTGAAAGTGTAAAAAAGGTAAAAAAAAAGCATTTAGTGTTAAAAAATAATTTTGCTACACAAGTTTCCACTTCCTCAAGTTTGATAGATTTGATATAATTTAAAAATGAATTGGCTGCCTGCACTATGCAATCAAAGAAGCCAAAAAAGTCTGCAGTAATTATTTCAGTTTGGCAAAATTGGCAACATAAAACCGGTTAACTTAAACAAAATGTTTGCTGAAAAGTCCGATTCGAGATTTGCAATTTTATGTTTGGCGACATTTTGTGATGAGGCGACATTTACTACCTCATTGTTATATTGCCTTTTGCCAATGAGGCGACATTTAGTACCTCATTGTTATTGCCTTTTGCAGCCATGCTGCAGATATATTATACCAGTCCGCTCAAGGTCACTGGCTTGGCTTTTCTGAGTGACACACTGTGTGTGATTCACTCTTATGTTCTTTATCATCGCTTGTTAGATGTAAACTTTATTCAACACTTTTGTTAAACATATTTCTATTAGTCAGAGTCTGACTAACTAAATCTAAACAACCAAGAATCTAAACAACTAATCAACTAATTCACTATTACGAACAACCTAGTTTTGTCCTTTAAATCTCGGCAAATGTCATGGCGCAGCCAGCAGTTCCTGTGAACGAAGACAGGACTGACCTGTTGGGTATTCCTCCGTTTTGGGCAAAACCTTCGATTAACTCGCCTTTTCTTTGGGAATCTTGGATTGGACAATTCTTCCTGGCAATGGGGTTAAAAGATAATCTGAACCCGCAGGATGTATTAGCAGAACCCATGGAGGTTATAGACGAACCACCTCCAAAAGCTGAGACTGTAGGTGCAACGGAAACCGCTGCTGAGACCGATGCACGCCTCCTCAGAGATCAGGCAGCGATTCGTCGTGTTACTGACATCAATACCGAGCGCAGAAGGAAAGGCCCTAGAATAGGCCTCAACTGGTTTTATCACGAAGCAGAAGCCCGCCTGAAGTCACGTCTGTTTTTCGCTCTAGGAAACGAAGGAAAGCGACGCTTCGCGGATTCTTACCCGCATACGGACATTAGTGTTACCTCGTTTCGGGATTTTCACCAGGCTTGCGAAGTACTATTCAAGATAGAACGCGATTATACTGTTGAGCGCATTAAACTGTACAATAACATCTTTATGTTGGAAAATGATACATTCTCTTCATTTTACGCTCGTCTCAGTGCTCAAATTGCCTTGTGTAATTGGCCACGTGCTCAAGAGAGGAATACTCTGAAAGATCTGTTCGTAGGACGAATTCGTGATGTGGATGTTCAACAGCAATTGATTAAAGCAAAAGCAAACTTAGAGGATACATTTCAACTCGCTCTGGAGTGTGAAAAGGGGGCTAGCACGTCGGCCCAGTTCCAAAAACTACTCCCGCATAACCAGGTTACCGGCATCAAGGTAAAACAAGAGCCCACTTTCTCGATACAATCATCTAGAGGAAAGCGGAATACTCCTCAGAACAACTATAATCAACAAAACACACAAAGTAATAAAAGCAACAAAGCATGCTATTACTGTGGCAATCCTTTCAGTCTGGAACACAGAAAGTCGTGTCCCGCTCGAGAGGTTACATGCAACCTTTGCAAAAAACGAGGTCACTTCGCAAAATGTTGTAATTCATCAAGACGGCGTGTCAATTTGGTAGATGATAGTGAGGCAGTGACAGACCCCTCAATCGACTGCAACTTTATAGATGCAGATTATGATAGCGAACCTGAATACAGTGTGTTACAGCTAGAAAGTGCGGTTCAGATAAATAGCATTGAGCTCCTCAGATCAAACAAGGGAAAACAAAGAAGTCTTAGTATTCAGCTGCGTACGGGATTGAGTTTTTTCTATTCAACTATCGACACTGGAAGTCCGGTCTCATTTATTAATAAACGTACTTGTGATTTAATATTACAACGCAACCCGTCTTTCCAATTTCGAGATGTGGCATGGTACCCTATAGACACTCTGTATTTCGATTACAATAAAAAGCCGATTCGCCTCCTTGGCTCAGTGTGTCTCCCGGTATCGTTTAGTGGTTGGAAAGTGGAAGAGGCTTGTTTCCTTGTCTCTGAGAACCGAACAAGAAATCTGTTGGGTCTAGACCTGCAAGAACAACTGGGTGTAGTGACCACCCAAATGAGGGCCGAACGTGTACAGCAACTTGAAGTTCAGAGTCAAGATCCTATCTCTGATTATTGGAGCTCTTTCTTCGCCAAAAAATACATGCATGTGTTTAATCGATTAGGAAGATCAAAGAACCACAAAGTGTTTACAAATTTCAAGTATCCTTTGGTACCGCGTCAAGTGAAGGGACGTAAAGTCCCAATTCATATCCAGGATAGAGTCGCTAATGAGATCAAACAATTGGTAAAACAAGGTCACATCGAGAAATTGGATAAATGTACAACCGATTACTTCATAGCACCCATCGTACTGACCGCCAAGAAGGACGGCTCGATAAAACTTGCCTTAAACGCTAAACCGATGAACGCGCAAATCTGGAAGAACAAATACCAGATGCCAAATATTCATGAACTTGTCAATTCGGTGGCCCAAATCATCACTAAAGACGTACCTGGCACCGTCTGGTTCACCTCGTTAGACTTGAAATATGCTTTCAGTCAGCTGCCGTTGTCATCATTTACCAGCAGTCACTGTAATTTTAATATTTTGTGTGGAGATGCTACGGGGACTTATCGATTTAAGACAGGGTTCTATGGGTTGACTGATATGCCGACTGAATTTCAAAAGGCGATGGATTGTACCTTGCACGGATTAGAAGGTGTAATCTGTTACTTGGACGACATCCTAGTAGTCACGAAGGGAGATGTTCAAGATCACAATAAATTGGTCGAGAGAGTGATGCAGCGACTCGACGAAGAAGGCTGGGCATTGAAATTCAGTAAGTGCGAGTTCTCAGTAAAGCAGCTAACTTGGTTAGGTTACGTTATAAATGAGCACGGGTACTCTCCGAAATTTTCAAAAATTGATGCGGTCCGATCACTGAAACCCCCCAAAACTTTAAAGCAGCTCCGCTACTTTATGGGGACGTTAAATCACTTGCAACGATTCCTACCTGACCTACACACCAGTACCGTTCATTTTCGAGAATCTTTAAAAGCATGCAATAAACAGTCTTTCCGTTGGGGGGAGGAACAAGATAATGCCTTCATGAGTATTATAAACCTGTTGGCTAACATTCCAAACTTATTCCATTATGACTCTTCAAAAAAGTCTCGGGTAAAATGTGACGCTAGTCATAACGGGTTAGGAGCATGCTTGGAACAGGAAATCGAGCCAGGGGTTTGGGCTCCTACAGCGTTTGCCTCACGCTTCCTCAATAATGCTGAATCAAAATATAGTACGAATGAACTTGAATTGTTGGCGATCGTTTGGGCGTGCGAACATTTTCGTACTTATTTGTTGGGAAATCGTTTTCAAGTACTAACTGACCACAAAGCCATCATTTCGGCGCTAAGCGAAAACTATAATAACAAATCATATCAGTCCTGCCTTTCACGTTGGGCGGACCGGTTACTACCCTTTGACTTCGAAGTTATTCACGTGCCTGGCGTTACGTTAGGCATTGTGGACTACCTTTCTCGACACCCAACCTTCTCAGCTCCAGCGCCATCAATATACGATGAACTTTTTGTTGTAAAGTCTATTGAGGCTTTTAATTCGGCCTTATCATTTATTAATGCATTCAATATACTTGATTTGGCTAGTACAATACGTTCGCCGTCGCAAGAGGTCGTTGTGCCTCAAACTCTGAAATCAAACCGTTTTCTCGACCAATCAAATCACGTTATGCAAATTCGCGCGTGCGGTCTCTCACCGAGTGAGGGCGTTAAATCATGTTGTTACGAAATTGACCAATCAGAAACCGGCATTCTAATTAATAATCGTAAACCAAATTCGCTTGACTGGAATCATTGTCTCCGACCTGAGTTGTTAAAAGATAGTTGCAAATATTCCTTCTCATCTTTTTCTAACTCTAATCAATCTCTTTTATTTCACTCATCTCATCTTTTTCACTACAACATGAATCCATCTAATCCTACTGGTTCCCATCTTACTGCATTACCACATTCTGCTCTTCAACATACTAATGATACACCAATAACTCAACCAACTAACATTACTAAACCACATCCGTCACACAGTTCAATGGAGGATCAAGCAGAACTTCTCTCTTTCGTCGAAAATTTCACCTTGAGTTCTCCTAACTTTCGCAGGCCTAGCCCGCGCCCTTCAGTAAGATCTCGTCAGGTAGGACGAATCTCTTGTTTGGACCAGGTGCGCCAACGTAATCGGACACGAGAGCGTGCGGCGAAGACTCGATTTGTGGCTGCCAGAACTGCCTCTAGAAGGGAGGGACACACTCAGCTCTTGGAAGCTATGAAGAAATGCCGATTATCAAGACCGGGGAGAATTCAACTTGCTGATAAAGTCGGTGTGTATGCCATCAATGGTGGCAAACCAATCGTCTCAGAGTCGAAGAAAGAAATTGTGGGTCTCCCAGGTTTATTCGATGCCGACCTCTTAGCTGAACTCACTGAGGAAGACCGATTTCTGGGCCCGATGAAACGAGCCATTAACAGCAAAGACGTTTCCAGTTTTAATAAGCTCGGATCTTACATGGCCCAATTTTGGTCCAAAGCAGCGGTTGTCAACAACTGTGTGATTATTGACAACAAACTGGCCATCCCAGAGGTTTTGAGACCAGCCGTCCTTGCCCGACTTCATCGGTCGCATCCTGGTCAAGAGGCCATGATGTCCGCCTCAGAGTATATTTGGTGGCCATTCTTGAACCGGCAGATAGTTGACACCTGCGAGAAGTGCTGCGAGTGCACACTGTATGGTAAGAACCTAAAGCCCGTTAAAACTTTTCATACCGCACAATCTTTGCCCCAGTTGACGGGGCCGAATCAGGAATTGCAGTTAGATTTTGCTGGTCCTATTTTGGATGACAAAGGTGTGAAAATATTCCTCTTAGTAGCTATCGATCGCTTCTCGAAATTTCCTTCTGTTTTTATTACTAAAACTACTGGGGCTAAAAAGGTTACGAAATTTCTTGAATCTTATATCCGAATTCATGGGTTACGTCATTCTATCAGGACTGATCACGGCTCGGGGTTTAAAAACGACATGGTACAACAATTTTGTTCTAGTAAAGGCATCAAGCATATCCTTTCTCCAGTCGGAGACCATCGTGGCTCTGGTCTCGTTGAACGTATGATACAGACTATAAAACGCAAGCTAGGCACTGAACAACTGGACCCTAACTTCGGTAATTTTAAAGAAGTACTTCATCGAATAATAGAAGATATTCGTAAAAATAAACATTCTACACTTAAGAAGTCACCATTTGAAATGCATTTCGGACGTAAGCCCAATACTGAATGGTCCCAAGCTTTTCTTAATATAGTTAATTCTGATTCTTCAGCACAAGGACTTGAACGAAATCTCTTAACGCCGGACCAAATTGCCAGTCAGGACTATAGTCGAGATCGGGTCAAAGTGGTGCCAAGAGGCAGTCTCAGTCCTCAGATAACTCCGCGCTTCAGCCCAATGTTCTCACTAGAGGGAAACATCGCCGAGAGTGAACCATACAAAGCGCTGGCTGATCTTGCCCGGGCGGCTAATGTATGGACACAACAGAAGAGGAATCTTCCGCCAGATGGGGGAAAACGGGTCTTTCAGGAGCTGTCGAGTCGACATTCAGATTTGGCCCAGTCATTGAAAACAGGCCTTTCTCGTAAAACGCTATGCTTCGCGGAAGATCGTTCAGCCACTACGCCTCCAGGGGCTCCGAATACTGTTCATCGTTTACCGACACTTCAACCCCGTCGACAGTCAAAAACAAGTAAACTAGAAAAACTTCTTTTATCCGAACTAAACCGTGTGAGAGTGTTTAGAAAAATTATGGATCGTCAGTCTGGCAAACCACTTTTTAAGCTTGCGAAATTCAAAATTACTCGCATCACCGATCACACCTATGTTACTGACAAGGGAAAAGTTTATCGAAAAAACCATGTCTGCCTTAAGCCTAACTTCAATAATACCTTTTCAGCAACACCAGGTGGTCGTCTTCAATCTTCTGGAACATCATCAAAAAGTGGGTGAAAGAAACCTGTTACTCGCGCATCTCATCCAACGATGCTTGAAAAACGGCCAGCTAATACGAGCGTGTCACTACCGGCGGTGGTAGATCTTACTGTTGATTCGTCCAATGAGAGTCCTCCCGACCAACACGCTTCGCACGAAACTCGGCTATCTACTCCAAGGGAAAAACGAATACGGTTGAATGACGAGTCACCGCCTGTCACGTTTGGCAACTCATTCCTCACACCGGGTCAGTCTTCGATAGATACTAGTCTGCCTCTACCGCCCCTCACTCAGCCTGTGGTCCCTACAACTCTGGTTCACAGCCCTACAACTTTGGCCACAAGTCCACATCAACTACCACTTGACGTCGTCGACCCCGAGGGTCCGGATCTTCCAGCTCGTCCAGTTATTCAAGCAAACCCATATTCGTCGCTTCCATCACTCTCTCTCCCAGCTCAACCGGCTACGGATGATTCAGAGGGAACTCGTACTTCATCTCGAAGCAAAAAGGCTCCGAAATTCTATGGCGACCCACTACGACACTCGGTTAAATGGGTAGAAGAAGAAAAGTCGTCGGAAAATGAAGCCGCCATATTGCCTACATTAAGCGCCCAACCATCGTCGCAGTCACCTAAACGGCGACCTCTCAGTCGGGAACGTTCGCATTTAACTCCTCCGGAGGCGCCATTCTCATCCTCGCTGGATAAAGCTCAGGACGAAAATTGATTGCAGCTAAAACTCATTGTCAAACTCTCAACAAAACTTCGTATCTATCTTTATTTTTGTCACCATGCATTTTTACGGGATAGGGGTGCTATCTAATATTAATGCTTAGGGGTGCAGTTTATTTATTTAACTTTTGAACAATTTTTGGTTTCTCCAAAAAAATTTTCCTTTCCGCGGGGAATGTGATGAGGCGACATTTAGTACCTCATTGTTATATTGCCTTTTGCCAATGAGGCGACATTTAGTACCTCATTGTTATTGCCTTTTGCAGCCATGCTGCAGATATATTATACCAGTCCGCTCAAGGTCACTGGCTTGGCTTTTCTGAGTGACACACTGTGTGTGATTCACTCTTATGTTCTTTATCATCGCTTGTTAGATGTAAACTTTATTCAACACTTTTGTTAAACATATTTCTATTAGTCAGAGTCTGACTAACTAAATCTAAACAACCAAGAATCTAAACAACTAGTCAATTAATTCACTATTACGAACAACCTAGTTTTGTCCTTTAAATCTCGGCAAATGTCAAGTTTGGCAAAATTGGCAACATAAAACCGGTTAACTTAAACAAAATGTTTGCTGAAAAGTCCGATTCGAGATTTGCAATTTTATGTTTCGACAGAGGCGGTTCAAACTCAAGACATTGTCTGCCCAGTTTTCTCTGATTGCGAAGACTTTATGGACGAACAAAAAGTCGAAACATAGAGCCGAGTCGGTCAGTCGAAAGATAAACTTGACCACAAAAATAAAACTTCACAAATTAGAAACATTCAAACACAAAATTGAAACAAAATCAAACTCAACATCAAAAAAGACGCTTTATAGACGAGCAAAAATTCTAAACATGAAGTTAACTACAAAATGAAAACAAATTGGAACACAAAATTGGAACATGATCTCGAACTCCTTATCAAAAAATTATGGCCAATCAAAAATCAGAACATCAAAACGCAAAATTTTAAGTTAAAAATATTCTTCAGTCGAACTCTGTCGAAAATAGTCGAAATGGTTTTTTTTTGTTTTTTTAAGTGTTTTTTTTTCTGTTTTCATGATTCTTGAAAATAAAATGACAAATATTCATCTGGTTTTTTTACATTGTCACCAAAACGTCAATTTGAATTCAAAGTCGAAAACGGAGTGTTCAAACGAGGAGAGAAATGCCGATATATCTGAACTAACCTTCAAGTAATGTATGATGTCGTTGCTGTGTCCGTTGTGACCGATGAGGTATCCGAGAGTCTTTAGATCTGATTTGTCATTGTTGGATGCCATACCCACTTTATGCCAGTGTATTTTGTGAGGGAAGGAAGTGGCAGGCAAAGATTTTATTGTGTGATCATACGCATGTACTGTACAGCCTATCAACACAAGCAAGATAGAAAAGCATGTATATAGACATTAAAAACTAGATCTCATATTTTTCGTAGGGAAAAACGTTCAAAAATTGTTATTTTAGAAGTCAATTTTTGTCCGAAGAAAGTACACCACAATCAGCAGAAACAGACCATCATTTTTTCGAAACTAGGAAAAATAAGTATAACATTTAGCGCGGTTTTTCTATTAAACAACAAAAACTGGGCCACCGCGTCTCTAAATTCCTCTTTTAAAGGTTTTGTTGGTTCAGATGCAGTTGCCTATGGAATCCAGTAAGAAAAATTGAACCAAAATGATGAAAATATTTTCTTGTCTATGGAACTCAAATACGTTTAAGCAAATTCCACTTGCAGGTTGCGGAATCTCGCAATTCACTTTGCTTAAATGGTTGATTGCTGCCTTTTCAATTCACACCGGATAATAAATTTACTCTTATATTTTACAAGCAATGTGTGAATGAGCATAACAAATTACTTGCTGCACAGTCGATAAGAGAGGCTATAATGGGAAAAAAGCACAATCTAACCCCAAAACACATAATTGAAACTTTGTAGTTTGAAATAAAATGTAAAAAAGCCAGGTACAAGTTCAAATGAATTCACGGCTCCCTATACTTTTCCCCACCACCATCGACAAATATAGTTGGAAAGGAAGAATTTTTGTGTTGGAAACCGTGGGTTACCATGAACACCACAGTTCAAAGCAATCAAAACAAAGTTCACGAAAGTTCTTTTTTTGAACCAACAGCTACAAATGGTGGGTAAGAGAGTTGAATTCAATTGTCTATAAAAGAAAGATATACTAATTTAGAGTACTCATAAGGTATAGCTATACCTTATGAGTATTCTAAATCAGTATATGTAATTTTGGTAACTTGCCAAATGGCTTAAATCCCAAATGGCATATAAACAGAGCTTTTCCCAAATGGTATAAATTTCAAACTTTCATGACAATCAAACGCTTTCTCAACTCATATTTCTCCTTTTTTAGGAGCGACAAGATGTGTGAACAAGATTTGAATTTATTGCTTCCAAAAAAATGTTACCTGACAGTTTTACTGGAAAAATTGATCACACAAAACTAATTACTAACATCTTATGCTTTTAATAAGAGTTCTCAAATTTTTTCGAGACAATGTCAAACAACAATTGATTTGACAACTAACTTTACTACTTTTTGTATCTTGATCACTAAACAAAAATCCTCTCAAAATATTTTGCAATGCAATTGCTGCATAGGAAATAAAGCATCTAGAAAACTGCTCATTTTTATGCCATTTGAGACGTAATCTTTTTTTGTAGACAGTTGAATTCAACGCTTTTGCCCAACATCACAAAATGAATTTCCGTGAACATTGTCTGAATGATTTAAACTGTGGCGGTCATGGTAACACACAGTTCTGAACACAAAACTTGATTATATAGGCAAGTATCTTTTAACCAATTCACGTTCTGTACTGGAACTGAGAGACGTGTTAGTACAGTTTTTGCGTAGTTAGAGAGGCCAGATCGTCATCGCAGTTGTTGCCTACATAGTAAATGCTATGACGAGCCTGTCTTTCTAACTATGCAAAACTTGTGGCAACTTGTCTTTCATAGTCAGTACACATTTTTAAAGGGTTAAAATACGCTCGCCAATGTAATCAAGTAGCAGGCATTTGTTTTTTTTTGTTTTTTTTTCTGTACCTCTAAGAAAAAAGGAATCCGAGAAACGAAGTGATTTTAAAACATCGCCGGATTGTCCAATTTTTCAGTGGACTTTGCTCTTTCTTCCTCAAAGTGTTCTTTTTGGGCGCGTGTGGCAAAGGATTAAAGGTATGGCTTAATAAATAATTGAGGCATGCTTGCAACCACTTGAAAATACTTTGAATGATATGAAACCAAGTGCTTAAATTCTCCGACTGATGTGCAGCCCCAAGATTACCCAAGTCAAGCCTCAAAAAACTGTCAGAGTGATAAAAAAAACATTAAAAGTGATATATATCACTATTAAGCCCCTTGTTTGACCAATGCTTGGGCCTTTTTTGGCGCGCGCTCCTCCCTCAAAATAAGTCTATGAATCCGCCAAATGCGCCTTTAGAAAACCTTAGCCAAACATGGATGTCTCAAAATAGAACCAAAGGGGGCAGGGAATCGAATCCAAGAGGAGACTGATACAATTTAAAAGCATCGGCACTGCTAACTTGCTTTGCTCAAAGCAAAGATTTTTGAAATAATATTCTAGTTTTTTTAGTTGTCGGTTTTTTTCGTTTTCAAATTTTTTCACACTTCTACAATCATTTTCAGGAAATATTCTACATTCATATTCTATCATATTCGACATATTCTTTCAATCGTATGCCTGAGTTTGATGAGTTTTACTGTTTAGTTTGGGGATTTTGGGATAGCTCAAATGGTCATTACGAGGAGATATTGCTCAATTTATCCAAAAAATTTTAAAAAATGTGAATATTTTGCTCGGAGTGGTTTTTTCTCCAGGTGTTTTTTGATTTTATCAAACAATGTTTGACAATAATTTTTTTCATAATTAGTCTGAAAGAAGTTGAAACCCAAATAAAAAAAGATTGTACGGCATTTGCTTTAGCGTTAAGAAGGATTGAATTTGGGACTACTTTGATTACTACATTTCAGAACGGAATCATAAACGAGCAAATTGAATTTTTCGATAAACGCATAACCCGCAATTGTTTTATCTCAAACTAAACTGAAGCGGGAAAACTGCTACAAAAATTACATTACCAGATTAAAAACACACACACTATGCTTCACATAGTGTGAGGGGAGCTGAAGTTTCAAAAAGAAAATATGACTGCTTGTTGCATGCTCTAAAAGTTCCGAACTCCTTGTAAAGCCTAAAGAGTAAGTTTTTTGAATACAAAGTTTTTAAGTCGCTTTTCTTGACAAGCATTTGTAGCTTTCATATGTTATATTTTCTCACAGTGATTTTTTCATTCTTAGTTACCTAAACTGCTGAGGAGGAGGCAAGGCTGTTAATCTAGTTAACAACGAGATACAGCTACTGATCACACATAATGAGCCATTAGACGTTGGGATCCAGGCGCCAGAAAAGTTAGACGAAAAAGTTTAAACTGAACAACCGTCAGTTTCAACAGTTTGCTCACAGCACAAAATAAAGACGAGTTTCAACAGATAATCGTCAAAATCCATATGTAACTATGCAAGGAAAAAACTGTCTAAGGAAAAAACATGGAACCAAACTCGTTGATTGATATATTTAACTGAGTTTTGAACACCATAAGCTAGAAAGTATATCACTTCTAATCATTGATGACAAAAGAGGCGGACTAGTTACTACATTCAACTATGACTACGTAAGACACTTTTGACATCGTCAAAGAGATTCCGAAAAGCCATTACGGTAACAAACAAATGATTTTGCAGACAAATGTGCTTGAGATATTCAAGCAACGATGACTGTAACCGACAGAAGAACACAGTTTCGAACTACTCAACCAGGGACCACCAATGAATCATTGGGTCATTTTTTGTGTTGTCTCTCTAACGAACTATTTCCTATAAGAACATGGGAACCTTGAAAAAATCCAGCATCAGGATGAAAATCTGCGTATTAGAACTAGCTTAAACACTTTAAGGAAACGCCCCGCCATGCGCTTGAACATCGTCAAAAAATCAGGAACAAATTCAGATCAATGTTTTGACGGGAAAAGAAATAATACGGCGGCAAAGACCGTACAGATAAATCTAGTCACAACAGAAAGAACAATTGCGAGTGCTGAGAAAAAGATTCTCAGATATGAAGATGCGAATACTTAAAATTATCGATCAAAGACAGATATCAACTGATAAAAAAAACAGCAGGGCTTCAACTTGAGAAAAAACCTTAAAATAAAGTAAGGACTGCTCTGGTTCTCGATGCCAAGATTTACAGAAGCACAGCTTTCTTTCTTATCAAATACTTGCAAAAAAACGTTTATCGAGAGCAAATTCTGGAAAAAATGTGGGTTGTAACTTCACAACAAAACAGCAACACTGCAGTCTCTTCGCTACAAAAAGATTTTTTAACGAAGAAAACAACTCTCATATAAAGCGTTTTCGATAAGTCAGTGAAACGACATTCAGTACGCAAATGAAGCATAGTAGGGAGAACAGACGACAAATGGATGCCTTGTGTTATAGAAGAACCTGGACCTCATGAGATTTCTTACAACAAGTCCGCAGACGGTCGCGGGATTTAATTTTCTGTTTGGAAATTAACTTTCATTTCTGCAAGACGTACAACAACTTCATCTTCTGCTCACTCCTTTTGCTTTCAACTGTGAGAACGCCCAGAAGGTAAAGTTTATGATTTTTTTTTTTCAGCTAGGACGAGATCTTCAAAACTAATCAAGCAGCGTCCAGCGGCTCGACGCGGTTTGTCGTTTTATACAACTCAATCATACAACTCATGTGAATGGGCGAAATTCCATGGGAGCTAATGATATTAAGCTTACTACAGAAATCTTATAAACGCGTGTCGAACAGCAGCTAAACAATTTGAAATCTGAAATGTCTTGTTGAGTTCTTGCTATCGAAGATAACCAAAGATTTTTTACTGCGCTTTTTTTTGTGTACACACTTCATATTGTTGACTAAGTATGACACGACCTAAGTAAAACACGAGCATAATTATTATATGCGTTTGCGGAGCACATCTAGTGAAAGCAGTAACAGCAGCCATCAGGTAACTAAAACCAGTATATGATGCCGAAATTTCTCGCTTAGACTGACTGGCAAAACAATTGCGTAGTTATGGAACATTCTCCTAAACGAATGTTTTATTGCTAACTGACTGGGCGAAAAACAGGAAATTGTAGCAGCCGTTAAATCAAATTTCCAGTTTTTTCATCTGGGAGAGTTTCGTTTTTAGCTCTATAAAGTCCTGATTCTTGGTGGATCTGCCATTCTTAAAAAAAGCTAATAGACAAGGCACAAACCAGTGGATAAGAAACGCGATGAAAACAACC